GAAAGGAGGAGGGAGGGAATATTGTATTTGCCTCCTTTACTAACCATAATTGAATTAAGTTGTAAAATGCTTGGGAGTTTAATACTGACCGAGCAGGTTTTCAATGGCGCTTTGTTTTTTCCTCTCCGAACAACTGTCCGTTAATGGATGAATGGATCTGATCGAGCTGAGAAAGAATATGCTAGATACATGCCTTTGAGTAAGATTTCTGCTGCCTTTATGCAGTGAAGCCTTTTGCTTTGAGTAATTCCGATCCAGTTGACATCTGGTCAGAATTAGAGAGAGATTCGCTGAGACTTCCGATTTCTTGCTGCATGACTGCCTTTGCTGCAAGTGCTAGATTTGCAGCCTTGAACCTGATGCCACAGGAGATGTGTTGCAGTACTGAGACTTGCCATTTTTCAGGATGCGTTCCTCCAAACCAGAGTTGTGGCATGAGGATTGGAGCTCTAAGGTGGATGATAGAAAATGCAAGCTTGCTCCTAGATCCCAGCATTTAAGCCTGGATGATTTATTAGTCTTCCCCTACCGACACATACAATGCATTTATTTTCCCTATTCATATTGCTTTTAGACTAGCAGAAGTAGAAGAAAGCCATAAGGAGCCAAAAAGTCTGCAAGAAGGAATGGAAATGGGATTTGTTTCCAGCTAGGTGAAATTCGGGTATTAAATTACTGACGTAGGTCAATGGTAGGGTTTCCCTTCCACCCCCCTTGGCTTTTAATCAGCCTGGGTGTCTTCTCCCCTGAAGGATGAAGAGTACTGACAGCCATCGGTGCTTATAATCAGTAACTCTGATGCTTGGAGTGTTGGCGATGAGATATTTTCATGAGACCTATTTAGATCTCTCCACTTCGACCAGGCTAGTTTTGGAAAATGTTGGGAATAAGCGATATGTCAGATATGGCTGAGACTCCGAAGATGATCCACATGTTTTACATTTTTCACAAATTTTGGGTGAGTGGTTAAAACATTTCCTTTAAGAGTGAGAGTGAGTGTGTGTGTGTGTGTGTGTGTATGTGTGTGTGTGTGTGTGTGTAAGAATGCAAGACCTCTACTTGACAGACTGCTCTGTTACATTGTATATAACTGGGGGGGGGTGATAATAAAATAAAGTAAAATTATTTACTTATGTAAAGATACAAAATTTCTCTCACTGAAGAGAGCTGTTAAGTGCACTGAAGTAGGAGGTTAATTTATTTAATTTCACTACTGAAGAATTCTGCCACAAAAGTAATCTTGGGGATGTGTGTGTGTGCGTGTGAGTGTGATATCTGTGTGGGTGGGTGTGTGCTTTGTAAATGTATAGATAGAAAAAAAAACATTAAAAGAGTTTTAGGAAAATGGGTGATGTGGAGAATGTGTCAGTATTCTCTCTGTTGAATTAAGCTGCCGTTTTCAGCACTGAGCATTTTCCTCTGGTTTCCTACCAATGGCATTTCCACCACTGGTTAAAAACCAAGGTAGAAGGAGGGGAAGACCTTGGTGCGCTGTTCACTGGGGAGGTTCTGAAGGGAAGGGGGAGCTGGGTAATAGGGGAGGTGGGAAACCTTGTAAAATGGTGCTTCTTTTCTCTTAAATTAGAATGGTGAAACTGAACTGACAGCCATTTTATGTATATTTATGGGGCTGGTTGTGAAAAAGAAATCCAAGGAAGCATTGAAATGAACTCCACAGGAACAGAACCAGAACAATTCCTACTGTGACCTCACCTTTTTAAGCACCGCAGGCATTTGACTCGCTAGGAGTTTCCCATCAACCTCTTAATCAATGCATGTCATCCAGTTTTTGAAAGTGTGGGAATGAGAAGTGACAGGAGTTTTTTCGTTTGATTAACAATCCATTCTCTACCCCACTGAAGATATGTAGAAACTTTGTGTCCATTTTCAATTTTATGGGGCTATGCTATTATGCTGCTTTCTTTTTTTCTCCTTACCCTTACAGGAAATAAAATGTACGCTTGCTGCTCTACAGTAACTTTGGAACAGGACCTCAACAAAAAAATGCATATCTGGATGCTGCAGACGATCGCATTTGCTTTAACATCACTAGTCCTTTCGTGGGCAGAAAGCATCGAGTATTATGGGGAAATCTGTGATAATGCATGTCCTTGTGAGGAGAAGGACAGCATCTTAACGGTGAGCTGTGAAAACAGAGGGATCATCAGCCTTTTTGAGATCAGTCCGCCAAGGTTCCCTGTCTACCACCTCTTGTTGTCTGGGAACCTTTTGAACAGGCTGTACCCGAACCAGTTTGTCAATTACACGGGGGCTTCGATTTTGCATCTGGGGAGCAATGACATACAAGACATTGAAACAGGGGCCTTTCATGGTCTGAGAGGTCTAAGGAGGCTGCACCTGAACAATAACAAGCTGGAACTTTTACGAGATGACACTTTCCTTGGTCTAGAGAGTTTGGAATACCTACAGGTCGATTATAATTATATTAGCGTCATTGAACCCAATGCCTTCAGCAAACTGCATTTGCTGCAGGTGCTGATTCTCAATGATAACCTCCTTTCCAGTCTGCCCAACAACCTTTTCCGCTTTGTGCCCTTAACTCATCTGGACCTGAGGGGTAACCGGCTGAAGCTGTTGCCCTATGCGGGCCTTTTGCAGCACATGGATAAAGTGGTGGAGCTGCAGCTAGAGGAAAACCCCTGGAATTGCTCCTGTGAGTTGATTGCTCTAAAGGATTGGCTGGACAGTATCTCCTACTCTGCTCTTGTGGGAGATGTGGTTTGTGAGACCCCTTTCCGCTTACATGGTCGAGACTTGGATGAAGTCTCCAAGCAGGAGCTTTGCCCCAGGAGGCTCATCTCAGATTATGAAATGAGACCGCAGACACCATTAAGCACCACAGGGTATTTCCACACTACCCCAGCTTCGGTCAACTCCGTGGCTACTTCTTCTTCAGCTGTTTACAAATCCCCCTTGAAGCCCCCCAAAGGGACTCGCCAACCCAACAAGACGAGGGTGCGCCCCACCTCCCGCCTGCCCTCAAAAGACCTGGGATACAGCAACTATGGCCCCAGCATTGCCTACCAGACCAAATCCCCGGTGCCTTTGGAGTGCCCCACTGCCTGCACTTGCAACTTGCAGATTTCTGACCTGGGTCTCAATGTCAATTGTCAGGAGAGGAAGATTGAGAGCATTTCTGAACTGCAGCCCAAACCCTATAATCCTAAAAAGATGTATCTGACAGAAAACTACATTGCTCTGGTGCGCAGGGCAGATTTTGTGGATGCCACCGGGCTGGATTTGCTGCACTTGGGCAATAATCGGATCTCGATCATTCAGGACCGGGCTTTTGGGGATTTAACTAATTTGCGAAGGCTGTACCTGAATGGGAACCGGATCGAGCGGCTAAGCCCAGAGCTGTTCTATGGGCTGCAAAGCCTGCAGTACCTTTTCCTGCAGTACAACGTCATCCGGGAGATAGAAGCGGGCACCTTTGAGCCTGTCCCCAACCTTCAGCTTTTGTTTTTGAACAACAATCTGCTGAGGTCTTTGCCGGGAAACATTTTTTCTGGTCTGTCTCTCTACAGGCTGAGCCTGCGGAGCAACCAAAAAAGGCCTGCGGGCCAACCCCTTCTCCTCCCTGCCAGTGAGCGGGGTGCTGGACCAGTTGAAATCCCTGCTGCAGATCGACCTGCACGAGAACCCCTGGGACTGCACCTGCGACGTGGTGGGCATGAAGCTGTGGCTGGAGCAGCTTAACACCGGTGTCCTGGTGGACCACGTTATCTGTGAGTCCCCCAAGAAGTTCGCCCAGAGTGACATGCGGGCCGTCCGGGCGGAACTGCTCTGCCCCGACTACTCGGACATCGTCGTCTCCACGCCCACGCCGTCCCCGG